TGGTTCTTGAATGCCTTGACTTCTGAAATGCCAATGGATTCCTTAATACTGTTAAACATATTTGAAAGTTGTTTCACATGCCTTTCTTACGAAACTGAGTAAATGTTATCCATACTCTAGGCAAATACCTTAGTAATAAAAAACAATAATGAAAACATAACACAGATTGAGATGTTCATACATATTTGCTAATAACTAATATCTTATTTTTATTTATCTCATAGCATCAATCTGACAAAGCATTAATTCCAAGCTTAAGTAACAAAAACATATATAAATACTTGACATCTGAACATAATAATTTTCACAAACATTTTCACATTCTCCTTTTTAATTTCAATCAAACCTAAAAAAATCATTCAAGTAAACAGAAGCCTCAAAGAAAGTAACCTCGAGAAATACTGGATCAACCTTTCCGCTTCTCTCCTGCCTGTTTCGACAGCACCATGAACCGTAGAATAAAAGTAGTCATGAGTTGCCTCTCCCGCAAAGCAGACAACCTATAAAGTAACACATATATTTTCCTTCTGTTTCTTTAGTATAATACATGAGCAATAAAACCTAAATGGAAATCCCCTTCACTTTACTTTAAACACACCCTCTTTATAGCAAAGTGAAGAGAAAACTATGCTGCAGATATGCTTTTCTTCAATATAATCATCATCAAATGAAAAACAAGGCAGTAAAATATAACAACAATAAATAAACATACAAAAAACAACAACAAAATAAAATAAAATACTGGTAACACTCACAGGAACATCTTTTGCATTCATCAAAGGGGATGCCAGATCTGCAGCCCAAACATTCATAGCTTCAGACTTGATGCTGCGGAAACTGTATGACCCTTTTACCCAAGGATTCTGACCCCATGTTGATCTGAAACAAAAATGTGTGAAAAAAAATCATTATACTAAATGATGACCCATGGTAAGGACAAGTTATGGCAATGACTGTTCAAAGACAAGTAAAATGAATCTCCTCTTCTAGACTACATTGTCTCTAAATCCAATCCTTTCATTAAACAAATCTCTGCATGTTCACATCCAAATAAGGATATCCTTGGATTATCCCAGTCAACCTTGTTCCCCAAAGTGCATCCGGAATTTGGAACTTGGATGCTAAGCGCTTCCTCAGGAAGGAAACACAACGCTTAATCACTTCCTCTTCGTGGACTTGCTCCATCATGCGGGCTGCTGGTCCTGTGATCCACCCACAGAGCATATTGGGTTGTCTGAACACCTCATAGAAGCCCAAGATTCCATATTCCCAGTTCTGGAGGAAATAAATATTCTGGGTGTTTGTATCATCTATTATTCTGCTTACTTTTTTGTGTCTCTGTGATGAATAATTATAAGAAGCTAAACAGTTAGTGAATCTAGAGCCCACTGTGCAATTATCTATAATTTGGAATTTTGAGAAACTTTAGAAGCTGCAGTACAGTACCTCCTTTGTTATTGTTTCTGGAGTTTCCTGGTCGTATAAAAAGCTGAAACCATCACAACCTGTCTCCCACCACTGCTGTGGGAACTGGATGAATATCTTGTCCACAACACCAATCCCTAAGCCCTGTGAAAAAATAAAATGTCATTCACAAATCTTTAAAGATTACTCAGTTCCTAAATTACTGGCTCAGTATATCTCTTTTTATGTCTAGTTATGAACCCCTTCCTGAATCATGTTAAACATTCACATATTATTCACCACTGATTTTCTGACACCTGTAGTTTCAAGACTGAGCCAGATGGTCCCAGCTCACAATCATTCACTCAAAGTCTTCAGTATGGATTTACTTTATATAAAAATAGGTTGATAAATGCACAAAACTGATGGCACTACACTATCCACTGTAGTGTACTCACTACCACCTGCGACCAACTAAGGAATTAATCTGCCATAGATGTTCCACAGCTTTAAAATTTGCACTAATGATATAGTATGCCTACAACTGTGATGTAGATAACCTACCTATCCAACTCTAACTGAAGCTTCTCTAAGCTAAGCTATCCTAACCTGATAATAACCATATCACCGAGCCCACATGTTCTCTTCTCAACTATAATACAGATAGTGGTTATGATGTATTGTTAGCTGTAAGCTAAAGCTATGACATATGACATAGCATCAGCCACTTTAAAAGTTGAACTTCAATTGTTCTTAATTAAATCTACAACACAAACTAAGAAAATGATAGTTTGTAACACACTTTTTAACAACTAGCTTTCACAAATATAAATACCTCAATGGCTCTTGACTTCTCCATTGGCAATGGAGGGTTGAACATTTCTTCAGCCACTGCTTTCAAGACTGCTAAAGATGGGGTGAAGACAACATGGTCTGCTCTTATTACCTGGCCAGACCACAATGTTAAATTGCAGCTGGTAGATGTAGCCAAAGAGCCATGCCAGTCAATGGTTTTTACAGCTGAATTCAAATGAAGACAAGACTTGGGCAATGGCTCCTGAAAAATAGTTGTTATACCAGACTGAAATTAGTAAGCCTTTAGTACATTTCCATGTGTCAAAGAGTGACTAAGGAAACCTCACACCTGTTAAATCACCTGTAATATCAACAAGTCTTGAAGTGATATCGAACACAACTATGGTCTTCAATTATTTTCTCTGAAATTTTCATCCTCTTTATTTAGATTCCGAACCAACTAACCTTAAGGTGGTTCAGAAGGGCTCGATATCCATTTTTCCAGTTGACCACAATGTTTCCAGGGCATTCCTTGTAGCAAGTATGTCCTTTTGCAGAACAATCGTACCAGGAATCAGTACCATCAATGCAGTTCTGAAAATTTCCCCTCCAGTTCAGCAATTCCTCTCCAATGCCACCCCACTGGTTGAGTGACTTGAATCTTAGAAAAAGAAGGAATGAAAAAATAAGTAAATGAATAACACAGAAAAAATGAAAATCTGTATACTACAATCATTTATAAATTAAAGAATAAAAATACAATTTGCAGTAAAGTGCATAGTCTAGAACATTGACATTACTATCCACATGCTAAAAAAAGAAACAAGGGGAAAATAGTGGCAGCTAAAAATTCAAATAGGTTGGCACATGACAGTCTTCAGTATTTACATTTAAAAGGTAAAATTCAAGTGAGAATAGCTGTAATTATTCATTACTTTCTGTTAAATCTATCAAAAGACCAATGTAATCCTACCATCAGATCTTACTAAATATAAATCTTTAAATTCTATGGATGTCCTATGCCTTCGTAAATGTGAGCCACACTTACTGTTCTTTATAGTACTGCCCAACAGAGTTTGGGTAGGAAGGGAAGTCTTTCTCTCCCTGTTCCTCGAGATTTGCAAAAGCCATTTCAAAAGCTTCGATCATCTCTGGTGGTACAACTTCTCCATTTTCTCTGACAAATACTGTTTCACCAATACCTGTAAATATCACAATTAATGAAGCTTTGTTTACTGGTCTAACCTACAAACAATCTCCCATACTTCTTGATATTACATTAGTAAGAACACATAAATGTAAAGGGAACCATTCCTCTGTATCCTTATTTTATTTCTATGGTAAAGCATTATCAATAATTACTTTTCTCATACAATTTGGTTTCTCATTTTGTGAAATCACATTATACTGTGAAAATGTCTTAAAAATATCTAAAATACCTCAAGAGTGAATGTAAGACAGATATAGGCAATTAAACAAACATAAAAGAACAGTGAAACAAATCCTATTCTAGATTGCAACACCTTAGTACCTGTCTGCTTAAGAGTGGGTTCATCATCCACAAGGTTGTTTTGTGAGGCCCACTCATAGACGACATTCCCTTCCTCTCCATGGATCCAGTGTGCGCCAAACTCCAATACATGATCACCTTGAATTATTAGGTACAGGAAAATTTGTGTTAGTTCACAAGTAAGGACACAGAAAAAGGGTAACTGTGATGACATATTTCTCAATCAAATTTGCATTGCAGAAAATTTCATCAAGCAAACAGAGCTTTATAAATTTGAATATATAGAGAGCATTCTCTTTAACCTAATAATGCCATGGTGTACACTGAGTCAGCTACTTGAGGAAAAATCAGAAGCACAGGAAACATAAAATTGCCCCTGTCTTTATGCTCTTGGCTTTAGCATAAACAAAATTTTTAGGTAATGATACTCAAAATAGGTTTTATATCTGCTTTTTAGGGTCTATTTCTCCTCAACAAATGCAGCCAGTACCAGACAATCAAACAACTGTTTGGCTTGCACAACTTAGAGCAGGCATGACTACAATGATACAAAGTTGTCATCCCAGTATCATAGGACATCATCCTGACATGAATGTGTTAAGAGTTGATAGTAACTGAATGTATGAGGTGCCCAGCTGCAAGCTACAATTAATAACAAGAATGACAACAATAGCAATAACAACACTAACAATATCTTACCATGTTCTATTGTGTGGACTCTTCCACCTATTCTATCCTGAGCCTCAAGGACAACAATGTCTTTTACTCCAGCCTGAATAAGCTTCTGAGCAGCACTAAGCCCTGCTACACCTGCACCAATTATGCATACACGCACATGCTGCGGAATGCATGCCATCTTCTGTCTGGAAATAATGACAGAATGAATTAAATTTCATAATGATCAAGAATTGAGTGTCCAAAAGAAATTACTAGTGAGGTAGCAAGTTTAAACACAGTGATAAAGCAAATATCAAATCACAATATATCAATGTTAGTCTTTCATCAACACAGGCAATATGTCCTAAGATAAATTAATCCACTAATTAGAATAAAATATCCTATCATTACTACATGGATCTAACATACTTTTGAATAACTAATGATCCACAGCAGAATATCAACTCAGGTTCTCCATCCACTCTGTTGTCTCACTTATTACCTCAGCCTCACTCATAAAGATAAACTGATATTTTTATCTATTTCGTACTCAGCAACAAAAGGGCTTATCTCCTTTCATGTCTGAAGGCTTTACAATATCTCCTACACAACAGAGATAGCAATTATCTGTATA